ACTGACTCGGTGTCCCAACCCCAGTGAAAGTCACTGACTCGGTGTCTCAACCCCAGTGAAAGTAATTGATTCAGTCTCTCAACCTCAATGAAATTCAATGACTCGGTGTCCCAACCCCAGTGAAAGTCACTGACTCGGTGTCTCAACCCCAGTGAAAGTAACTGATTCAGTCTCTCAACCTCAATGAAATTCAATGACTCGGTGTCCCAACCCCAGTGAAAGTCACTGACTCGGTGTCTCAACCCCAATGAAAGTCACTGACTTGGTGTCTTAACCCCAGTGAAAGTAACTGACTAGGTGTCTTAACCCCAGTGAAAGTCGACAGTTCCATCACAGTCGTCATGTCAGAGGTCATATCATTTTTGTTTGTGCCTCAAGTCACCTATACAGTCAGTCACTTGAAGACCGACGTCCCTAGCAGACTTGATTTTCAGGAATTCGTTTTTGATTTATATATTTATATGTTACGCAAATACAGTTTATTCAGACATGAATTATCCTTTGTGTGTTTGTCTGTCAATGCGTGTAAATGTGCCCATCTCTATCTTGGACATGCCTGGACCAATCACATTCAAACTTTACAAACACATCATACATTCTGGGATACAGAAAAGCGGCCAACTTAATGTTAAAATTCATCAAAATCAAACATTTCTGACATTCTGGACCCAGAGTTCAGTTCATTTATTGCATTCTTAATCCAAGTCTGTTGTCTGTTGTTTTTTTATTGCAGTGTATTTTCATCATCAAAGAACATATCAGATAGTAAGAAAAGTAATGACACGTCTGTAGAGGTAAAACCACTACCCATTGCCGTTTACCCAAACTGTACAATAAAGAAGTCACTAAGCAATATGAGGTTATTTACAAATAGGTAAGCTAATCTGTTCATGCGATTCACACCAATTACTATCAATATTTGTTTAAGTTAGATATTTTATAAAGGGGTCTTACTACTGCCAGCCAGTTGAAATCCCCTGAATTAAAAATAATGGTACCACCCACCAATACCAGTAGAATCTTCAGTTTTTCACTTTTCTGGTACGAGACACAGGCTGTAAATTTGGAAGTTGCTATTCAGTTTAGTTAACGCTTTCATTAGTGTATCATTAATTTAACTTTTGTCGTTTGTTTAATCTGCACTTGCACTCGAGTGTAGTAACCTTCATTGATGTTTTTGATTTCATGATTCGTTCGTAAAATTAAATTCATAAGTTATATTCAGTCAGCGATACAAGTAATGCTTATTTTTCTCTATTAATGTGATTTACCAGCATTCCATTGGAAAAGAAAACAATTAAATTCTTGTTTCCACTTTGGCCGTAACAAACAGACGACAAGCTTTGAAAAAAAATGGCTGCCAGGTCAGAGGTCAATGTCTAAATATACGTATTTTAGACGTGATTGCGAAAATAAAGTGCATATATTTTTTCACTTTTATCAAATCAGATTAATTTTACATTGAAATATTTAAAATGAAAGTTAAAAAAATTAAAGAAAATGAATATTAATTAGCTCATGAATATTAGTGACCTCATGAATATTAATTAGCGACCGGCACTCAAATCAGGCTGGGCAGAACCCTGACATGCCTATTCATGTGTCACAGTCTCCACATGCCTGTTCATGTAGCACAGTCGCCACATGCCTATTCATGTATCACAGTCACCACATGGCTGTTCATGTATCACAGTCACCACATGGCTGTTCATGTATCACAGTCACCACATGCCTGTTCATGTGTTGCAGTCACCACATGCCTGTTCATGTGTTGCAGTCACCACATGCCTGTTCATGTGTTGCAGTCACCACATGCCTGTTCATGTGTTGCAGTCACCACATGCCTGTTCATGTGTTGCAGTCACCACATGCCTGTTTATGTGTCATAGTCACCACATGCCTGTTTATGTGTCATAGTCACCACATGCCTGTTCATGTATCACATTCGCCACATGCCTATTCATGTATCGCATTCACCACATGCCTATTCATGTATCAGTCACCACATGCCTATTCATGTATCAGTCTCCACATGCCTATTCATGTATCACAGTCTCCACATGCCTATTCATGTATCACAGTCGCCACATGCCTATTCATGTATCAGTCACCTCATGCCTGTTCATGTATCAGTCGCCACATGCCTGTTCATGTAGCACAGTCGCCACATGCCTATTCATGTATCATAGTCTCCACATGCCTACTCATGTATCATAGTCTCCACATGCCTATTCATGTATCATAGTCTCAACATGCCTATTCATGTATCACAGTCTCCACATGCCTATTCATGTATCACAGTCTCCACATGCCTATTCATGTATCACAGTCACCACATGCCTGTTCATGTAGCACAGTCGCCACATGCCTATTCATGTAGCACAGTTTCTACATGTCTATTCATGTAGCACAGTTGCAACATGCCTATTCATTTATCAGTCACCACATGGCTGTTCATGTATCACATTCACCACATGCCTATTCATGTATCAGTCTCCACATGCCTATTCATGTATCACAGTCTCCACATGCCTATTCATGTATCAGTCTCCACATGCCTATTCATGTATCACATTCACCACATGCTTATTCATGTATCAGTCTCCACATGCCTATTCATGTATCAGTCTCCACATGTCTATTCATGTATCACAGTTTCCATATGCCCATTCATGCATCAGTCTCCACATGCCTATTCATGTATCACAGTCTCCACATGCCTATTCATGTATCACAGTCTCCACATGCCTATTCATGTATCACAGTCTCCACATGCCTATTCATGTATCAGTCACCACATGGCTGTTCATGTATCAGTCACCACATGGCTGTTCATGTATCAGTCACCACATGCCTGTTAATGTATAACATTCACCACATGCCTGTTAATGTATAACATTCACCACATGCCTGTTCATCTATCACAGTCGCCACATGCCTGTTCATGTAGCACAGTCGCCACATGCCTATTCATGTATCACAGTCTCCACATGCCTATTCATGTATCACAGTCTCCACATGCCTATTCATGTATCACAGTCACCACATGCTTATTCATGCATCACAGTCACCACATGCCTGTTCATGTATCAGTCACCACATGCTTATTCATGCATCGCAGTCACCACATGCTTATTCATGCATCGCAGTCACCACATGCTTATTCATGCATCACAGTCACCACATGCCTGTTCATGTATCACAGTCACCACTTGCTTATTCATGCATCACAGTCACCACATGCCTGTTCATGTATCACAGTCACCACTTGCTTATTCATGTATCACAGTCACCACATGCTTATTCATGCATCACAGTCACCACATGCTTATTCATGCATCACAGTCACCACATGCCTATTCATGTATCACAATCACCACATGCTTATTCATGCATCACAGTCACCACATGCCTGTTCATGTATCACAGTCACCACATGCTTATTCATGCATCACAGTCACCACATGCCTATTCATGTATCACAGTCACCACATGCTTATTCATGCATCACAGTCACCACATGCCTGTTCATGTATCACAGTCACCACATGCTTATTCATGCATCGCAGTCACCACATGCCTATTCATGCATCACAGTCACCACATGCCTGTTCATGTATCACAGTCACCACTTGCTTATTCATGCATCACAGTCACCACATGCCTATTCATGTATCACAGTCACCACATGCCTGTTCATGTATCACAGTCACCACATGCCTATTCATGTATCACAGTCACCACATGCTTATTCATGCATCACAGTCACCACATGCCTGTTCATGTATCACAGTCACCACATGCTTATTCATGCATCACAGTCACCACATGCCTATTCATGTATCACTGTCACCACATGCTTATTCATGCATCACAGTCACAGTTGAAACATGTCAGAATTTATTTTGTGATGTCATAAAGAGTGATAGTGATAAATGTGAAATTTATTTTTATTGTAGATTTAAAGAAGATTATCCACCTTTTCTGTCCCCTGGCTTTATGAAATGGGATGTTCAAATGAGTCAGTATCCCCCACCATTTGGTATGAAAACTGCAGGTATGGGAAATTTTCAAAATTGTTTAACATTCTGCAAACAGAAAACATTCTATTTTCGTTTTTTTTTAATGTAATGATATTGAAGTGGCAAGGTATAGTGGTTGTCAGTGTTTTCATCGTCATCACCAAAAGTGGCATGGTTGTCATTAACACTTGTGGCCAAAATAACTTAAGTAATTTTTGGTAAAATTTGTTTTTTAAACTATAAAGTATTATCAACCAATGTATAATCTTAATGTACTTCAAGTTTGGTATAGCTGGTTCATTTATAGAATAGAATAAAATAGAATACTTTATTATCACTGTACAGAAATATAAAAGCATGTAAATGAGACCCTAGAACACAGAAGTTTTCTTTCATCTGTGTAAAGTTTACATTGAGTGATAAAATGAACTTTATTCTCAAGTAAGATTCATCAAGGGCATTTTCTTTCATTGATTTTATGTTTTGGTATAGTGTGTCGCACAGTTTCAATGTGATATCTTCAAATCTCTAATTTTGATGAATATTTTTTTTGTCATTTTTGATGAAAAGTGATATTTTTGACTTCTTGTTAAAAACTGCAAGTCTGATTGCTTTGATATAATTATACATATAGGTACTACAGGTAGTCCTCTCTCAGATTTGTTCATTTCGTGATAATATATAGGTACTACAGGTAGATTTGTTCATTTCATGATGATATTTTCAATTCTTCAATTTTGATGTATATTTTTGTTAAAAAGTGATATTTTCGACTTCTTGTTAAACAACGCAAATTCGATTGTTTTGATGTTATACATGTAGGTACCTCAGATAGACCTCTTTAAGATTTGTTCATTTTCTAATGATACCTGGTATGTATGAAGGTACCTCAGATAGACCTCTTTAAGATTTGTTCATTTTCTAATGATACCTGGTATGTATGAAAATGTGTGAATGATTCGGGACGGCGAGATGGCATAAATAAGACATATACCATACAAAATATGTGTGTGTGTGTAAAAAGTTTTGTTTTGTGTCTGACATACTTGGCTAGAAAAATAAAAAAAAGCGGTACGATCAGACAGCTACTTTTTAGCAACGCATTGATTGTTTGTTTACATATTTATCAACTTTTGGTTGAGTTGCTTGCCGTCTGTTCTGCTCTGTTTCCCTGTGATGTCTCTTGTTTAGCCACTGTCCCTAAACCACCCAAAGACACAAAATAACATCTTGATCACTATTAAATTGGTGAAAACAAGTTCAAATTAAACCAATCAAAATGTATCCTATTAATTCGCTCCTGAAAAAAATAATTTCCATTTGTATCCTATTAATTCGCTCACTCCAGATATAATTGTTTTTTACTACAGTTAGTTTTTACAGTATATGCAATGTTATTTTGTTCAAGTGATATCACAGTGTGTAGGTGTCTATAATAAGAGTATGCCTTGAATTGTTTAATAGGAAACATTCAGTGTCCATTCGTACACTAGTGTTACTGGGCAGTATTACTTACATTCAGTGTCCATTCATAGACTAGTGTTACTGGGCAGTATTACTTACATTCAGTGTCCATTCGTACACTAGTGTTACTGGGCAGTATTTGTCACAGAACGCTATAACAAAACCAGCACGACAGATCACTCACCATCAGTCCTCGCTAGCTACTCCGCCATCTTAGCCACCGCCTGAGTGTTTTCCTCCTGCCACAGAGGGCGCACCTCGTAAAACCACTTATGCAAATTAATGTAAGAATAAATAATAAGAATTCATGACATCACTCCCCTTTCAAGAGGAAACTTATAAAGTTTCTGCACAGCACATGAATTCTGTTACATAGTCCTTAAACTGCTCTACTTAGAAAATCAGCTCCATGGTTATCTGAGCCCTTAATACATTCAACGGTAAAT